CCACCTGGCTTATTTCACTGAACATAATACCCTCTAGCTCTATCCATGTTGTTGCAAATGGTAGGATTTGTTTCTTCTTATTGCTAAATAGTATTCCATTGTCTATATGTACAACATCTTCTTTATCCATTCATCTACTGATGGAAACTTAGGTTGCTTCCATATCTTGGCTATTGTAAATAGAGCAGCGATAAGGGGTGCATATGTCTTGTATGGTTTCTCTTATATGAGGTATCTAAAGTATTCAAATCCATAGAAACAGAAAGTAGCAGGGTGATTACCAGGGGCTGGGGAAAGAGAAAATGGGGAGTTGTTTAATGGGTATAGAGTTTGGTTTTGCAAGATGAAAAAGTTCTTTAGATCTGTTGTACAGCAATGTGAATATATACTTAATACTGATGACCTGTATACTTAAAAACAGTCAAGATGGTACAGAGGAAAAAGCTCCCGTGTTTCAGTGTTTCATGCTGAGCACTCTTATGACCAGATATGCGGAGGTTTTCTCATGCCAAGCAATACCCCAACTCTCTGCAGATAGCCGCTGTGTGTCCTATAATTCAGTTCAGTTCTGAGACTATCTACTTGGGGTAACACCAGATCCCACAGGTTAAGTGTTCAATCCCACAAGACTGCCCTTTCCCCACCACTTCAGAAGTCAAAATGGGTAGAAGGTAGGAATCTTTTATAAGATAAAGAATAAAGAACATGGAAGAGAAAAATAGAAGATATCTGAATGTGGAGGCCACATAGTTGATCTTGTTTGGGGTGAAAAGACGAGAGTTGGCCTGGTGTTTGGGGATTGGCTGGGCTGGATATACTGTGTTTCTGGTAAGGGGAGGATTTACAGGGACATAAAAGTTATGTAAGTTTTGGTTTGCTGATGTGGCACACGGGGCCGGAACAGCACCTTTGGGCCTAGAAATTTGTTTCAGTAATGCTGTCAACAAAGAGTTAGAAAATAAAATTAAAAAATCAATACCATGTACAAATTAGTAAGGGATAAATTTCATAAACTGTGTAAGACTTACTGAAAATTATAAAACATTGCTGAGTGAAATTAAAGATCTAAATAACTGAAAAAAAATCAGGTTTATGATTTGGACTATAGAATATTTTAATGTTTCGATTCCGTTCAAGTTGATCTATAAATTCCACACAGTGCCAATCAAAATCCCAGGCATATTTGTAGAAATTTATAAACTAAAGCTTATATAACCAAAGCAATTTTGATAAATTGGGCAAATCAGAATGTATACTACCCGATTTTAATATTTATACTAAAGAGAAAAATCATAACTGTGTGATATAAGAATAATGATAGACACAAAGATCAATGGAATGAAAGATTACAGAAGTGAATTCACACATATATGATCAGTTTATTTTCAACAAAGTTGCCAAGGTAATTCAATGGGAAAAGTACAGCTGTTGCAGGAACCACGGGAACCTCAAACAAGGAGTCAGAACACCGAGATGTTTGGCGAGAAGCAGCATTTATTAGCGCCGGCACTGGCTCAGCGGATTCCTCTCCAAAGGCTGAGCCCTGAGTGCAGCAGGGCCATGCCTTTTACACATTCACTGCAAGGCTGGGGGGAGTCAGCACCCAGGAACTGTTGCAGTGGTAGCTATTAGGTCACTATAGGTGTATTCAGGATGCTAGTTATAGTTTAATCTATCTCTGTAAAGGTTACCCAGATACCCTATTATGAACAAATGGGCTTCCATGACTATGATCAACAAGCCTTTCCACACCACTGAGTCCCAGTGGGTGGAAGACATTGTTACATTGTTTCAATCTCAAGCACCCAAGCCCCTTGTGATTCCTCTACATTCCTGAAGCCTCAACTGAAACTTTGTCTCCTTGGCTTCCGCCCACACAATCTTTTCAACAAATGGTGTTATGAAAACCAGACATCTATAGTGCAGGAAATGATACAGATATCTGCTGCGGGCTAAGTGTTTGTATCCTCCCCCCAAACTAATATGTTGTGGCCCTAACTCACAGTGTGGCTATATTAGGTGATGGGAGTCTTTGAGGAAATAATTCAGGTTAAATGGGCTCATAAGGGTGGGGCCCTGATATGATAGGATTAGTGTCCTTATAAGAAGAGACTTGGGAGAGCTCCCTACCCTCTAAGCATGCAAGGAAAGGTCATGTGAAGACAGAGCAAGAAAGCAGGAAAGCCAAATTGGTTGGAATCTCAGTATTGGACTTCTAGCTTTCAGAGCTATGAGAAAATTTCCATTGTTTAGGCCACCCAGTCTGAGGTGTTTTGTTTTTATGGCAACCCTAGCTGACTAATATAATATCCATATGGACAAAAATCAACCCTGAGCCTTACATCACACCACATACAAAAATTAAGAAATGGATTAGAGACCTAATATAAAAGCTAGAACTAAAACTGTATCAGAGGAAAATAGAGGTGAATATGTTCCTGTTCTTTGAGTAGTTAATGGTTTTATAGACAAAATCTAAAAAGCACTAACCATAAAAAAATCAAATTGATAAACTCAGCTTTATTAAAGTTGAAAACATCTGTTCTTCAAAAGACAGGAAATGAAAAGGCAAGCCAGACACTGAGGAAAAAATATGTATACAGATATGATTACAGGAACTGTGTCCACAATGTATGAAGAACTCTTAGAACTCAGTAAGGGGATAACCCAACAACAAAAATAGTGGACAAAATACTCAAATAGGCTGTAGAAAAGCAGATATTTAAATAATTAATAAGCACACGAAAAGCTCAACATCATTAATCATCAGGAAAAGCAGATTAAAATCACAATTAGATACTACCACGTACTCACAAAAATGACTACAGTGAGAAGGGCTGACACCAGTGTCGGTGAGGATGTTGAGCATTTGGAACTCCCACATACTCCTGGTGGAAATGTAAACTGGTACAGTAAGTCAGTGTTTTCTTGAAAGTCAAAAATACACTCATTTACTTGATTCAGCAATTTCATTCCCAATTATTTACCCAAGAGAAGGAAAAAGAAACATAAGTTTACACAAAGAATTGTACACAAATGTTCACATCATCTTTATTTATAATAACCTAAAATTATGAATATCTCACAGTCCATCAATGGATGACTGAATAAACAAATTATAGTATACCATGTCATGGGTATATGTTACCCAACAATGAAAAGAAATAAGCTACTGATACTCCTGGTCACATATTCAGTTTTACAGAGAAACTGAGCAAAAAAACAAACAACTATAAAAGTTCACCCCAAAAAAGTTTATACACTCTGGTTGCTTGGGGTCAGGAGTAGGAGGATTTACTGCAGACACTTTCCTGGGTGATGAGAATCTTAAATATCTCAGTTGTGGAGGTGGTTATGTAAGTAAATTACTTTTCAAAAGTCATAAATTTCCAGGAACAAAACAGTGCCATACACTGACTATTCACATTTTATAGTTGATTATTTTTTACCTCTCTTACAAATCATTGCCATGACTGTCAAATTGTATCTGATAGTTTTGAGTTTTCTAAAGGAAAACAGAAGATGGAGCAAACATTTGAAAGGAATTCTACTAGAAACAATCCCAAATTATACACCACCTTACTATCCCGTACGTGCCGCCTGTGAGTGTCTCATGGTATGAGTTTCCTATTGCTGCTGTAACAAATTACTTTGAACTTGGTGTAAAATGAAACAAATTACCTTATAGTTCTGGAGGTCAGAAGTACAAAATAGAGCCCCCCTGGGCTAGAAACAAAGTCTCATCTGGACTGCATTCCTTTGGAAGGGTTTAGGGAAGAATTCATTTCCTCACTTTTTCTAGCTTCTAGAGGCTGTTCTTATTCTTTGAATTGTGACTCCTTCCCACCAGAATTCACATCAGTGAGATGTCTACGTGCACCTTCCCATGTCCTCTGACTCTGACTCCTTTGTATCCCTCTTACAAGGGTCTTGTGATTAGATGGAGACTTCCCAGATGATCCAGGCTAACCACACCTGCAAAGTCCCATATGACATTGTAAAGTAACATAGGTTCCTGGGATTAGGAGAAGGACACTTTTGAGGGACCATTTTTCTACCTACTGCACATGCCTAACTTTGAAACACCTGGCTTCTGAAGGACCTTCATTTCGAGTGTGGCAACTCAGCCTCTTCTTCAAAACTCTCACCTGCCACTCCAAATGACTGTTTCATCTTGTGGGATCTGCAGCTTGACTTTCATAATTAAGAGAAGTCTTATTACATTCAGGGCTCAGGTATAGAGTTCATGGGATTTGAGATTCAAAGTTCAGGAGCTCTAGATTTGAGATCCTAGAGGAGACTTTGGTCTTGAGAGTAGCCTCAATTCTGGGAGTGTGTGCCGAGATTCAGAGGAACCTGGCCTGGGGTTCAGGCAACAGCAGGCAGTGGCGATAGGGAGTTTAGTGTTCAGTTTTTCCAGGATTCAAAAAGCAGGTGTGGACTCAGCTGTGTGCTTAACTTTAGCTTCAAGAAGGAAAAGAGATCACCTAAGACCTGTACACTAAGTACCTGAGTCAGAGGTCAAAGTCCTGAATTCGCATCTATAGTGCCCCTCCCCTTTCCAACAGGATTTGGGGCAAAGAGCAAAATAAGAGGAAGTTAGAAATGAATGATAGCTAAGAGCACAGCCAGTGTGTTCACCAGGTAACACTGAAAATCTTCAGGTTACAGAAACAGGCCAATTCTGTCTTCCCTTTGTTCCTCTTCCATTCTCTCCAGTAAAGAATGATGGATGGGTCAGTCTTGTCTTAACTTTATTTTAAAGGAAATGGAAAGATTACTAAATACAGTTGTTATCACGGAAGAATTTTGGTGCTCAGGTATCCTCAGTGATTCACTCTACAGAATTATTTGCATCATAAGCTTTCTTATCAGCCAACTGATGAAAATTGCCACACCAAGTTTCCTGTTAATCTGCTACCTGTTTTTACAGTCTAGATATCCAGTGGATATCCAGTGACTGCCTGAGACTCAGGAATGAGTCATCCTCTGCCAAGCAAACGACATGGTCATGCCTGAAGAAGCAACGTTCAGGCGTGTTGCTGGCAGGAGCGGTCAGCACAATACAAAGCTCCAGGGAAAAAAGTCCAGTGATAGAGCCCATGGCTTCTGACAAAGGTAAAATGGACTGGGGGATCTGGCAAGTTCCGTATTCTTGCAAAGTGCAAAAACTCCGTGTGCGTCTGTGTCCTGCTTGTGTCTGTGTCCTGGGTCATTTTGTAACTCGCCTATTTATTAATATTATGCTTAAATAAGGTTTATTATTATACTTTAAAAAATTATTTTAAATTAATACTAACTATTCACATTCACAAGTGATTTTGATCAGATGACACCAAATCAATGCTTGTTTCACCCTAATAAAAATTAAGTAAAAATATAATTGGTTAAGTAAGTTTAAGAAAGCAACAGAAGTGGTAGCTCAAGGGCATGTTAATTGAAAATTTAAGCTTCAGTTTCTCAATGTTAGGAAAATTTGTGGGAGAAGGAGGTGACTTGAGGCTGTGGACAGAAATGATTTTCGAATGAAGTAGGATTTGAGCTGGATCCTTAAAGGGTAGAATTTGGATTGGCAAAGGGAAATTCCAGGTTGACTGACACAAAGAGTTTGAGGGAATTTAACAAAGATAGTGTTTGGAATGTAATAAATAAACCAGTTAGGCTACAAAAAGTTTGTGGAAATAATCTGCAGTGAGATCAGAAAGCAAAACTGAAATGATGTTATAAAGGACCTTGAATACCAGCCTGAGGGAATTGAGGTCAATCTTTTTCCATAAGAGAAAATCTTGGGAGATTTTGTGAATAGCATAGAGACGACTGAAATAGTGCTGTAGACACATTTGTCTGGCAATGATGCCTTTTTGACTGGAAGCAGAAAAGACTGGGAGAGAGGAGATGACTCTGAAGATTATTACAGGAGTGTGGACATGATGTGATAGGAGACAATAATGATATCAGTCCTGGGTTTTAAGAAACAATATTTTGTCTCTGTTATATTCCTCTTTCTATTAAAATTATCTTGTGAGTGGCATGTTGGGGGAAAGACTAAAGACATTATTTAGTTGAAGTATCTGGGTGAATTTTCCTGAACTTTCCTCTGAAGGTGGTGTGTCCATTCCTCAGACCATCCCAACACATACAGCCAGTGTCCCTGCTTCCCATCCCAGGCGTAGATATTGAGAATATATCTCATTCTTTCTATGTTCTCACTGCTGCTTTACCTCTTTCAGATGAAGCGTTCTCTCATCACTGATAACGACTTTTTCTATAGCTATGGCCTCTGTTCCTATAAGGCCCCATCTGAGTGTACCAGCTGTTTCAAAGTCCCTGATCTGGATTAAGGTCTGAGAAGTAATTTGTAGGTCTAGTGGCACATCCTGGGCCCTTCAACACATACACATACATACACGTTCAGAACCTTGGGCAAAGTGCCTCCCATTTTGGAGGAAGGGTTTCCCAGACCTGTGACTCTTCTTGGTTCAAACATCTCAGAGTTTAGGTTAGTCGGGAGGGGAGACTGAATCTCCTACTTGCCTCTCCATAGGGCTACTTCACCCTCAGAGGAAGGAGTGACTTTGTACCTCTCTGTGACCCATTGGGAAGGGGTGTCATGGTGAGGGGAACCTTCTGCTCTGTCTCAAACTTTATAGATCTCTATTTCTTGGAAAAGAGAGATTGGTGGTGGTGACTGAGGCTTTTGATTTATGGTGCTTTTCTCCTGCCTCCCCAGACAAACTTTAGGAAAATCCCTAACATGACTTCTTGTTGCCAAAATAAATGCTATGGTCCTCAAAATGAGTTGCATTTCTGTTCTCCATGTTTTGGAATTCTGAATTCAGATCAGGGCCATGCCCATTTCATCCCCAAAGCTCTGAGTCTTGAGGGACATGGGCCTGTAAAGTCCAGTACTTTCATTTGACTCACCCCCACCTCTTCAATAGCTTCTCATGACACTTAGAATAAAATCCATGGCTTAGCAGGCCCTATGTGATCAGCTCATCTCCTGCCATCATACACTGCGATCACTGTGACCTAGCGAGTCCACCCCTCGCCCTTCCTTGAACATGTCAAGATCTTTCCACATTAGGTCCTTTGCACTTGCTGCCCCATCTTCAGAATGTCCACATGGCTTGCTTCACTTTACTTCAGGTCTCTGCTTAAATATCCCTCTCCAAAGAGGTCTTCCCTGACCAAACTCTCTAAGGTGGCCTTTATCCCCTTACAGTGTCCAGCCACTATCACCTTTATCCCCTTACAATACTTTCCTTGGCACTTTTCATGGCACATGTTTTTACTTATTGTTTCTTTCCTCCTTTAGAATATAAGCTCCAAAACATGGAGATAGGGATTTGTTTTGTTCCCTGTTCCTGTACACAGAAGGATGCACATTTAGTAGGCGCTCAGTGAACATTCGTTGACAGTGCAAGCAAGTGAGCCCCCTTCCACCCCGTACAGACCAGTTTGCCAGGTTCCAAGGGTAATTTAGCTGCTAGTCACTGGTTCCCTCTTATTGGCTGTTCTTGGGATTATGCCCATGTGATAGCAAATCAATGGGCACAGTGACCCACCGAGGCTTTTGGCTATTCCAGGGATTCTTTTGACTGAAGGAGGGATCACGGTCCCCATTCCCTGAAGCCTTGTGCATTAGGAAGTCAGGTGACAGCGTCATACCTACATCAGCTTTTACTTCCCAGCTCCCGATTCTGCTGCTGACCCTACTGTTCTTTTTTTCCCCTAAGAGTAGCAATTCTTGTTTTGTTTCTCTTCCTCCCTCCACATGAACATGATTCAAAGAGAGAATTTTGCCTCCTAGAGATGCTCTCTGCAGCAGCATTTTGCTGTCAGCCTTCAGTAACCACACAGCTCCAGGTGATGCCTGGTTCTTTTTTGCTGGTTCTCTCTTATTTTTTCATATGTCTTTTGCAAATGCTTTTTTACTCTTATAACTTATGCAGATGTCTTTTCTCCTTCTTGATTTGTGGCTTAAAGATATATGAATATTAAGCCAATGGTGACCCAGCTTCTCTCCACAATACTCTTTGCATTATATATAATACTCAATGTAAATATTCTTTCTTTAAATTGCAATTTTAATTGAGATTTTCATAGCATAAAGTATGCAACTTTAAGAAATAATACAGAGAGATTCCTTATACACTTTGCTTAGTTACCCCCAATGGTTACATTTTGCAAAACTATAGAATAATATCACAACCAGAATATTAACATTGGCAAAATCCACCAGTTTTATTCATATTTTCCCAGTTTCACTCTTGCCCATTTGTGTGTGTAGTTTTATGCAATTTTGTCACCTGTATATGTTTGTGTATCCACCACCACAGTCGGATATGAATAGTTTTATGAGTACCGAGACCCTTTATTGCTCTTTTATAACCAAGCCCTCCTCCCTCCCACTCTACACCTGTCCCTATCCCTTGCCAACCACTAATCTGTCCTCATTTCTAAAATTTTGTCATTTCAAAATGTTGTATAAATGGAATCATATCTTATGCAATGATTTGAGATTGGCTTTTTTAAAAAACTCACTATAATTCCCTGGAGATTCATCCAAATTATTATTATCAATAGTTCATTCCTTTTTATTGCTGAGTAGTATGCCATGGTATGGATGAACCACAGATGGTTTAACCATTCACATGTTGAGGGACATCTAGGCTGATTCCAGTTTTTAGATATTACAAACCAAGTGAATATGAACATTTGTGTGAACACAGGTTTTTGTGTGAACCTAAGTTTTCCTGTCTCTGAGATAAATGCCCAGGAGAGCATCGGTCACATGTAGTTATAGTTTCGGTCGTTTCTTTTTTCCTAAGAAACTGCTGAACTGTTTTCCAGAGTGGCTGTACCAATTTACACTTCCACTGGCAATATATGAGAAATCCAGTTTCTCTGCATAGAATTGTTACTGTGTGTGTGTGTATAATATATATATATATATGTATGTATGTATATATATGTGTGTATATATAAATATGACATATTATGGCAGTAGTATAGTCATTGTTACTGTTATGAATGAGATCCAGTTTATATATATATGGCTATTTACTATTCTGCAGTGGGTAATAGTAAAGTTCATTCAATGTTTATTTAACAAGTATCTATTGCTAACTAACATGTTTCAGGCAATGTGACAGAGTCTTGAACAAGATATACATAATCCATAATACACATAATTTATAATCCAGTGTTATTCCAGGCATGTAAATAGGCAATTATAAGTTGCATAGTAATTGCTATGATGAAATACAGGTTGCTGTGGAGGCACATAGAAATTACACCTAGGAGCCTCTTAGTGACTTTCCCAGTGCACTTAGTCATTCTCATTGAAGCTTTAAAGAGGATTACCTGGTTTGGGGTTGCACAAACAGATTTCAGCAGAGCCCTAAAAATCTTTGCTTTTCTTGATTCAATGAGCTGGGCCAATCCAACTAATCGAGGAGAGAATATTTTAACTCCATTTTCTGTTATGGTTTGTAGGTTTAGAAGAATAGAACATTTTTTCTTAGCAGCTCAATTTGTCTCTGGTTGTTATTGACATAATCATCTCTTGGTCAACAGGTCCTTCAGCTGGAGATGCCACCTTGAGGTAAGAATAATACTATCACAATGTGCATGTGATTAAGCGAGAGAATAAATGGGTATTTACGAGCTGTAGTACTACAGCTTTCCTTACTGTTCCTTTCCTCCTTCACCATGTTCCCTCTTCCTTTTTGCCTTCTCCAGCTTCATTCTTGATGATTATTGTTTTCTATATCTTCCCTCCAATGTATTCTGGTTTCTGTTTAGATGAATTACCTTCTGGCCTTGTTTTTGTCTTATCGTCTTCTCCATTTAATCATGTTTTTATAGCCATCAGTGAAACGTCCAGGGAACTCATTTGCCACTTTGACTTCATCTTCCTGTTTCACACTATATGCCCGTTTCCAGACATATCATTATAACAGAGAGACTTTAGTCAGGGAATACATTATCTCATGATGGTTAGAAGGACTTATCTATGTAATAACTGAATGTGACTCTTTAGGGATGAATGGAATATATTAAGATGTAGTAAACTGATGACTCAATCATATTGCAAAGAATAGTCAGCACATCTTGGGCTTCCCCTGAATCACAGCTTTGATATACAGAGAGTATTAAATCTAAAAATGCCATTGAGACCAACTTGGGTTTTTTTCTTATGAGGAATTGGTATACAGAATTTCATGTGGAAAAACCCTGAGGCTAACTTATTCTCTTCTCAGACTTGGCAATAGAATCTTGTTAGCAATTTGAGGCTTCTACACCCGAGAATACCTAATTAGAGTATGTTGAGGAATAGTGAAGATTAACAGTTGGGACATGGCACCTCTAAGTGTGAGATACAAACATAAGAATATAATGCGAAACCTTTAAAAGAGAACTAGGGATACATTAATACTGGAATTCAAGACTTCCAAGCAATGGTATAGAAAGAGTGGTAATCAAATACCATGAATTGGGAAGAATCTCTTCACTATGCTTGTGAGATAAACTCTGATAATTCAAATGGACCTCCCAGATAACTTTGACATAGAATAAGAAAATAGAGAAAGTTTCCTGAGATGTCACATTTAGATTTGCCTGATGGAAGAGGGGAGCATGATATGGTCCCTCTACAGACTGCATGTCTATATGGGAGTGCTCTTTATATTTCAGGAGAAGAATTCAATCCTGGGAATTTGAAGAATTCTTTGACCCCAGAGAACTCCGTAAAGAGACCTGTCTGCTCTATGAAATCAAGTGGGGCAGGAGCCGTAGGATCTGGCGAAACTCCAGCAAAAACACCACCACGCACGTTGAACTCAATTTTATAGAAAAATTTACCTCAGAGAGACATTTTTGCCCACCCATCAGCTGCTCCATCATCTGGTTTTTGTCCTGGAGTCCCTGTTGGGAATGCGCCAAGGTCATCCGAGAATTTTTGAGTCAACATCCTAGTGTGACTTTGGTTATCTATGTAGCTCGGCTTTTTCAGCACATGGATCAACAAAATCGGCAAGGACTCAGGGACCTCATTAACAGTGGTGTGACTATTCAGATGATGAGACCCTCAGGTAAAAACAGTGAACAAAGAATCTTAAGTGTTTATGGGAGACTGTGGTGGTGGTATGTTTCTAGGCCAGGAGACACCTCAGAAATAAAAGTCCAAAGTAACATGAAGAAGGACCAGGTTTCATATTCAAGGCAAAGAAAGTATCAAAAACATGACTTTTCTCCACTCTTGCCACTACGGCCTCTCAGTCATCTTCCAATGAGCTGCTTTGTTCTCAGGGATTCTGGGAGAGTCTAGCCCATCTCCAGCAGCAAATAGGCCAGAAGGCCTTTTACATGGTGTATTTTTAATCTGGACCCTCTTTAAGTAACTTGCTATTGTATTTGTTGAATGAACCAAGATTTGTGTTTCCTTAGAGTATGATTACTGCTGGAGGAATTTTGTCAACTACCCCCCTGGGAAAGAAGCTCACTGGCCGAGATACCCCCCTTTGTGGATGAAGCTTTATGCACTGGAACTCCACTGCATAATTCTAGTAAGTTACTTTAAAAGACAAAGAGATTCGGGTGCAGAAAGAAGCATCCTTCTTCAAACTCCTTTCCAGAAAATTTTCACACATGCTCTCTTTGCCATTGCTGTCATTTATATTGAGATATAGTTATATTAACTACTTGACCTAATCTAAGAAAATGTGAAAATAAGACAATCTGTTTGTGGGAAATGAGTGGGCTAAGAGAATGGATATACTGGTCCAAGATGCATGTAGACTCTGTATTAATTAGTTGTGTTATTATTATTGTTTTTGTTGCAACACATACTGGCTCTATGGAATCACAGATAATTTCCTCTCCCGTATAGTTGTGTGTCATCCTATTAAAGGAATGTAAGTGTAGCATTTGTATTTTCTTGAAAGTAGTTCAATGGTCTTCCGACTGATGATTTAAAATGTTTGCAGTAATAATAGCATTAAGAAAAATAGTATCCTAACTTCTTTTTTTATTCCAGAGTCTCCCTCCATGTTTAAAGATTTCAAGAAGATGTCAGAATCATCTTACATTGTTCAGACTTAATCTTCGAAACTGCCATTACCAAATGATTCCACCCCATATCCTTTTAGCTACAGGGTTGGTACAACTTCCGGTGATGTGGAGATGAATAGAATGATTCTTTGTGCAGGCTGTTTCAAGAACAGGCAATGGTGACCCACTAAAGAGTGAGTTCCACTAGAATTTAGAAATTTTCAGCTTGTGTTTCTATACATTATGATTAATTTAAGAAGAAAAAAAATAATTCCAGTTACAATAGCATTAAAAACATTGAAAAAGGTAGGAATAAATTTAACCAAGGAGGTGAAAGATCTGTACACTGAAAGCTATAACACATTGATAAAAGAAATTGAAGATGCAAATAAATAGAACAATATCCCATGTTCATGAATTGGAAGAATTAATATTGTTAAAATGTTCATACTTTCCAAAGTCATCTATAGATACAATGCAATCCTTATCAAGATTCCAATGCCATTTTTTACATAAATAGAAAATCAATCCTAAATTTCAAATGGAACCACAAAAGACTCTAAAGAACAATTCTGAGAAAGAACAAAGCTGGAGGCACCATACTTCCTGATTTCAAACTGTATTACGAAGCTATGGTAATCAAACAGTGTGGTACTGGCATTAAAAACAGACACATAGACCAATGAAACAGAATTGAGAGCCCAAACATAAACCGATGCATATATTATTGACTAATGTTTGGCTAGGAAACCAAAAACACTCAATGGGAACAAGATATTCTCTTCAATAAATGGTGCTGGAAAAGCTGATATTCACCTGCAAAAGAATGAAACAGGACCACATCTTATATTGCTCACATAAATTAATTCAAAATGGATTAAAGACTTAAATTTAAGACCTGAAGCCATACAAATCCTAGAAGAAATCTCCTTGACATTAGTCCTGTCAAAGACTTTATGGATAGAGCACCAAAAACACAAGCAACAAAAGCAAAAGTAAACCTGTACAGTAAAAGAAACAATCAACAAAATGAAATGGCAACCTATGGAAAGGGAGAAAATATTTATGAACCACATATCTGATAAGGGGCAAGTATCTGAAATATATAATGAACTTCTACAACTCAATAGTAAAACCCCAAATAATCTTATTTTAAAATGGGCAAAGGACCCGAATAGACTTTTTTCCAAAGATGAAATTCAAATGGCCAACAGTTACATGAAAAGTTGCTCAAAATCACTAATTATCAGGGAAATGCAAATCAAAATCACAATGAAATATCACCCTATACTTGTCAGAATTCCTATCATCAGAAAGACAAGAGAAAACAAGTGTTGGCTAGGATGTGGAGAAAAGGGAATCTTTATACACGGTTGGTGGGAATGGAAATTGATACAATCATTATGGAAAGTAGTATGGAGGTTCCTCAAAAAACTAAAAGTAGAACTGCCATGTGATTCAGCAATTTTACTTCAGGACACATATCTGAAGGAAATGAAATCACTATTTAAGAGGTATTTTCAGTCCCATGCTTATTACAGCATTATTTACAATAGCTAAGACATGAAAACAACTTGAGTCCATCAACAGATGAATGGATAAAGAAGATACGCCACATATAAAACACACAATGGAATATTATACAGCCACAAAAAGAAGAAAATCCTGCCATTTGCAACATCACAGATGAAACTTGAGGGCATTATGCTATTTGAAAGAAGTCAGAAAAAGACAAATACTGTATGATCTTGCTGATACATTGAATCTAGAAAGACAGAAATCATAGAAACAGCAGATGAGAGATTGCCGAGGGCACTGATGAAGGTTTTCGAAGAGTACAGTTTTCAGTATTAAGATGAATAAGTTCTAGGGATGTTAACAGTACTGCACTGCATGCCTGAAATTTGCTAAGATAGTAGATCTTAATATTATACCACCAAAATAAAAGTATCTATGTGAGGTGATGAATGTGTTAACTCACCTTTTGTGGTATTCATTTTGCAATACATATATATATCAAATTATTAAGTTTGCACCTTAAAATTACACACAATGTCATATGCTAATTATGTCTCAATAAAGCTGAAGGAGAAGGATTTTTAAAAATCTAGAAATGTTCATAAACAGTGGTATCACAGTTTGTGTTATTAATTGCTATATCACAAATTACCCCAATTCTTTGTGGCTTAAGACAACAGTGAACATTTATTATGTCACAGTTCTCTGTGTCAGGCATTCAGCAGCAAACTTATAAGTGTGTTTAAGGCTCAGGATCTCTCATAAGGTTGCAGTCAATCTATCAGCCATGGCTGTAGTCATCTCAAGGCTTGACAGAGGCTAGAGAATTGCTTCTTAGGTGACACAGTCACATGACTGGCAGGTAGGTGCTAGTAGCTAGTAGGAGAATGTTTCTTTCTACATAAGCCTTTCCACATGGCTGCTTAAATGTCCTCACGACATGGCAGCTGGCTTCCTAAGGAACAAATTAAGAGGTCTAAGAGAGACCAAGGTAGAAACTGCCATGTCTTGACTGACTGAGTCTTGGAATCATACACTATCTCTTCTGCAGTGTTCTATTAGTCACACTGGTGGCCAAGCTTCAGTGTGGGAGGCATCTACACAAGGACTTGAGTCTCTGGAGATGAGAGTCACTGGAGGCCATCTTGGGTCTTACCTGCAGGGGCTTTCACTGTGTCTTTAAGGACAAATAATTACATGGAGCCAATTTCTAAGAATCTAAAGGGAAACAATGGACAAAGCAGCATCTGTTTTTATTTGGTTCTGCCTCAGAACCCCATAAAATTTCATGGTTGATTTCTTGTCAGGATTTATAGATGATTATAGTGTAGTTAACAACACCCCAAAATATTAATAGCTAAACACAAAAGAAGGGTTATTTCTTGCTCGCACTGCAGTCTAATGTAAGTAGGGTGGGAATATCATGGCTCCATGTGGTTACTCAGGACCCCAAGTTCCTTGCATGTGGTGACTACCATCTCCTGTAGCCGTGGAGTCCTCTGCTGGATTCTCTACATTCAGGCAGCTCACAGGAGGAGAGAGAGACAGAAACAGAGAGAGAAAACATTAAGTAGTGTGAAAGAATCAAGGGCTAGAAATGGCAAACAATTCTAACCCAGTTACACTAACCCAAAATGAGTCATGTTGTCAGGCGATCCAACACGGGACGCACCTGCACGCTAGATGCATCTCCCTGGTAAAGGGTTCTTGGCTATGATCAAGAAAGAATTCACAAGCAGACTGAGCAGGCACAAAGAGTAGTTTAATAAAGCGAAAGTGCACACTCAAGGAGGGAGTGTGGGTGTGCTCCAGAGATGGACAGCACTGTGGGGTTCAGGCAGGGTGGTTTTATAGCTGGAGTTTAAGCTGGGGTGGGGGTGGGGGTGCTGGGAGGGTGGGACAGTCATTGGATAGGTGGGGTTTTCTTGGAATTGGGAGATTTCCAGGAAATAGGGTGATACCATCTTTTTGTCCTTAGATGGTCTGCCTCAGAACTGTTATGGCAATAAGAGGTATGATTTTTAGTGTGCTGATGAGCATACACTGTATTTTGGGTTGAAGTCAAGGTCAACTTCTTCTCCATGTTGGAAGCAGTTTTTTAGCAGGTCTGTTATCTATATTCTCACTCCCCATATCCCTTGAGAACAGTTTACACAGAATGCTTAGAATATAAACAAGCACCTAACCAATAGTAAACACTGGCCAAAGTCCCAAAGCCCTTCCTGCTCATCTCTGGCTGTCTACCTACTGTAACCATATGGCCCCACCCAAAACTGTAAGGGAGGCTGAGAAACCAGCCCAGCTGTGTGCCCAGAAAGAAAAGAAGTTGCCTGTCAAAATGAGGAAAACAGGAAACAGAAATATATGCAGTTTGGCCAGGGTCAGGTAGGAATATCATGGCAGAAATGAGAACTTAAAAATCAGTGTGCTTTTTTTTTTCCTGGAGGCATTCGGGGTATGCTAGTAACTAACATCTCACCAACTTTCCTAATGGAGGCAGACGGGCTCAGTCTTTTGCCTGGTTTACCTTCCTGGGTTGGTATAGAGTAAGGTGGTCTTTTTTGGGGCATACATAGGGGCTGGGAACTTCATAGATCTCCACATGAAGATGATCTGTGCATTTTTTAAATGGCCGAGAGAACTACCATTTATTGTGTCCTTACAAAAAGATTCATATTAGGGGAATAAACCTCTCAAAGATAGGAGACCATTTCTCAAGTTATAACTCACAATATCACAGTCCTGATACATGAATTATCTTTATCAGCATGATATAGAAACCATAAACCATACATTTGACAACATAAAACATTTTAATTTCTCTTAAGGAAAAAAAATCTTAGAGTCAAAAGACGGGAAAATACATATAATGGAAATTGATGTTTTCTCTAATATGCAAAGCTCTCTTACAAATTAGTAGAGATGACAAACCAATAGAAAATGGGCTAAAGATAATAACAGACAATTCCCAGAAGACCTGTAAAGAGAGGACACACAGAAAATGCTGACTACCACAAATTAAAGAATTTGAATTTAAAGTACCATTGTTCATTCGTCAGACTATCAAAGATTTGAGATTGATTATACCCAGTGTGTATTGTGGTTTATAATAAGAAATGTATATTCGGCCTTCATCCAGTTTCTAGCACTGAGCTTCTAAAACCCTTGGAATGTAATAAGTGGTGAAAAAGATAAAGTTTTCTTTTGTTATGCTAATGAGGTGACTTTTGGCATGCCCCTGGGTTACGTAAGGATGGGGGTGGTATTTCCAGGGCAATGAACCAGGTGATTGGCAGAGTCAGAGATTTCAGTCCCACCCGTCCACCTGCTGGGAGCGGAAGGGGCTTGAGGTTGAAACTCTCACCAGGCTGATGATTTAATCAACTGTGTATGTAATGAATCCTACATGGAAGTCCAGAAGGACAGAGTTCAGAGAACTTGTGGGCTGGCAAGCAAGTAGGATTCAGAGAGACCGCTGCACTTGGCATCTCCGTGCGCACTCTCCGTACCTAATTCTGCGCATCTCTTCCATCTGTTTGTTCCTGATTTACATCCTTTTATGATAAGGTGGCAATCTTAACTAGAGAAATGTTTCTCCGAGTTCTGTGAGCCTCTCTAGCATAGCAAATGAATCAGACCCAAGGAAGGGGCTGTGGGAACTTCTGCTTCAAAGCCAGCTGGTCAGAAGCAGAGGTCACAACCTGGACTTGGGATCGGCACCCTAAGTTGGAGGGAGTCAGAAGCCCAGGTGCTAACCTGGGCTCACAGTTGGTGCCAGTGGAGGGCAATGGTCCCGTGGAACTGAGGCCTTAACCTGTTGAAGCTGAGGCTATTTCTGGGTAGCTGGTATCAGAATAAAAGTTGAACTGTAGGACACCCAGCTGGTACCCTGAGTGTTGCTTCGTGGTGTTGGGTCCAGAACTTACTGAGGGGCCCAACAGAACGGAGGTCAGTCCATATCCAAAACAAAATGAGACAAAAACCTCCGTTGGCCCACACCCACGGGAACAAAAACTAATTATAACCCTTCCATTTAGGCTTAGCTCACCTTACCCTATAATAGGACTCGA